CCCCGCAAGTCCCGCCCGGCTCGGAGCTGGTCCGCGGCCGTTCACGGCTGAACTGCCACCGCCGCAGTGTCCGGGAGGGGCGAGTGCGGCGCCGCCTCACGCCGCAGCCAGCCCGCCACCCGGTGGTGACAGCGAGCTTGGCCCAGCCTTCAGATGAATGAGGATGTGGGGCTGGGGGGACAAGGCTACCATCCAGAGGGGCCCCTCTCTGCAGAATTACCCACCCCACTCCCCTCAACGTGAGAGCAGCGCACGGGGCAGCGGGGACCAGCGGGCCTTCTACACAGATGGCCTTGAGAAATCAGTGGACATCAGCTTTAGTATCTCAGGGAAGAGCCCCCCCATATGACTCCCCCTCCTCTCCTTCCTTGTATTACTGTGAGGCAGGGGCTCCAGCAACCCCTCAGTGGAGAAGGTGCTCTGGCGTTGCCTCCCCAAACCTAACAATTGTATCCAGAAAGACAAAGGAAAATTAGGCGAGCATGAGGACATAGAACTTGTCAGTATTAAAGGAGCAATGCCTGAGGATTTAGAGAATTCTAGATTCAGCTGTCAGTAAGCAGATTCATTTACTTATTCAACAAGTGTTTATTGAAATCGACTTTGTGTCAAGAACTCTTCTAGGCACTGGGGAAACATCAGTGAGTGAAACAGACCAAAAACAAAAAAGAAAAACCTCTGCCTTCGTGGACATCCCATTCTAGATAATCAGTGTATGATCCAGGGACAATTCACTTAATCTAAATTTCAGTTTATTAATATGTCAGATGAGGATTAAAGATGCCAGCCCTACCTTTCTCCCATGTTTAATATGCAGATATAATAAGAATATATAATAAAGGCCTTTGATGAATCCTGAAGAATGATACAAATATGGCAAATTAGCACAGAAAATGTTGACCTTGAAATATGAAATGTCACCTTCTTAAAAAATCACCTCTTGAAGCAAGGCCAAGATGGTGGAGTAGTCAGATGTTTCCAGTGGACCCTCTTACAACAAAGACCCGAAAAAACAAGTGATTCGATTATATATGGCAATCTGGGAGCCCTGAACATCAAAGGCAGAGTTGAGGAACCAGACTGAGTGGCAGGGGGAGGGAGAGATGGTTTGGAAGCAGTGAGACCTGAGCAGGCGAGACCCAACCAGGCGACAGCCTGAGCCCTTGAGGCCTAAGCAGCTCATGGGTGGCCGGTGAGGCAGGCAAGCGGATGCTCGGGAGGCACGTTTTCCACACCGGGAGAGACCCAGAGCCAGAAAGTCTACACAGCCACCCAGAACCAATGAGAAACAGCCCCCATCGGTGAAAGATAAGTAATTGCGTACAGCTTACTGCGTGGATCAAAAACATCCCCTTAGGGAAAAAACCTCTCTCCCATTTACCTCCCCGCTCCCTGCTCTGCACTGGGTCCCAGACCGGCTTCAGCAATCGCCCAGTCCCTGGGCCAGAAGTAGGATCCGTCACACTCCCGGAGCCATTCTCCCTGCCTTGGACAGTGAACAAATTAACAAATGGGAAAAAATAAGCTGCCAGCTCCCCTAAGCCAGGAACCCAGGATAGGCACAGCTCCATTGCCCAGGCATAGACATAAGGGATCCATGGACTCTGAGTGCCTTTCCCCCTACAGAGACTTGTGTGGGCCCATTTCAACCGCGTAGGCCCTCATTACCACAGTACAACAGGGTATATACCTAACTCTATCTTCAACTGTTTCAGCTGTGAAGTGGCTGGTTCTTGACATTTGACACTGCTCTGCCCATTAAGCAGGGTATTCACCTACTCACATCATAGGCCTGAGGACTGGTGGCTCCACCCATGCCACCTTGCCACCTGCAATAGGGGCCCATGAATAAGAGGTGCCCCCCAGTCCTTACAGCAACAGCATTAGGTGCTCATAGTCTAGCTGCAAAACCCACCCGCCTATGGGCTCTAGGGAACAGGGACACGCCTTCCTCCTGGACACTCAGGGGTGGCAGTCAGCCCCCTGCCTCACTCAGAGTGTGTTCCCCTGCTGCAGCCAGATGCCCGTGCCTACACCAATCACCCATGTCTGTCTAAGACTATAGGTGAGAGCCTACACCACACACCTGGTGGCTATCTACCTGGGCACCTGAGTTAAATCCATACAGGAGGAGTGGGCGGACTCCTGAGCTCACATACTTAGTAACAGATCTAACCACCTGGTGACAGGACATCAGAGCTTCAAACTGCCAATAATCAAACTAGCTCATATGAGCAGCCTAATTGGACATATCAAAACAAAACAAAAACCTAAGACACATTAAGCAAACATAAAATAAATAAATATAACAACTTATTGATGGCTCGTAGACAATAGTCAATATCAAATCACATAAACAGGCAATCCATGATGGCTTCAGCAAGCTCCCAAAGTAAATAATCTAGAAATTTTCCAGAGGAGGAAAATTTCTTGGAATTACCAGAGACAGAATACAAAAGATTAATATACAGAACTCTTCAAGAAATTAGGAAGGAAATTAGGCAAAATGGAGAATACGCAATAGAGCAAATTAAAAAGATTAGAGAAGAGCATAATGACAAATTTAACAGGCTGCAAGGATCCATAGAGAGACAGCAGTCAGAAATCCAGAAGATTAACAATAAAATTTCAGAAATAGACAACTCAATAGAAAGTCATAGGAGCAGAATTGAGGCAATGGAAGTCAGAATTAGAGAGATTGAAGATAAAGCACTTGACACCAACTTATTTGAGGAAAATACAGATAAAAGGATTTTTTAAAAAATGAAGAAACCCTAAGAATTACGTGGGACTCTATCAAGAGGAATAACCTACGAGTTATTGGAGTACCAGAACAAGGGGAGATAGCAGAAAATACAGAGAGAATTGTTGAAGATTTGTTGGAAGAAAACTTCGCTGATATCATGAAAGATGACATGATATCTATCCAAGATGCTTATTGAGCCCCACTTAAGGTAGATCCCAAAAGAAAGTCACCAAGACATATTATCATCAAACTTGCAAAAACCGAAGATAGAGAATTTTTTTTTCTTTTTAATCACTTTTTACTTTTAAATTTTTGTCAAATGAAACAGGCATGACACATATACTTCAAAAATTAGCTACAACATAACAAAAAAGCTTCACTGTATAATTTCCTGACAGAAATTCTGAGCCTATTTCAACTCTAAGCTCATAAATTTCAAACCCATGCCAACTAGCTTACCAGGGACAGACATTTCTGCAAACAACATATTGCCAATCCATGAACTCAGTGAGTGTTCATCTTTTTTAGTTGTCTGAATCTCTTTTTTTTTATATATATATTTTATTGTACTTCAGGTGAAGGCTTACAGAACAAATAGTTTCTCATGAAACAGTAGTACACATGTTGTTTTATGACATTGGTTAACAACCCCACAA